TCCTGACCTTGTGATCTACTGCCTTGGCCTCCCAAAGTGCTGAGATTACAGGCATGAGCCACCCAGCCCGGCTTCACAGCTGGTTGGAGCTGTCTGTAATACACTCCAGCTGGTTGGAGCTGTCTCTAATACACTACACCCCTCCTAAAGCCCATTCTCAAACTACAGTTAAATGCTCTTAGGCCAGGTGTGATGGCTCATGTCTATACTTCCAGCACTTTGGGAGACTAAAGCAGGAGGATCGCTTGAGCCCAGGAATTCAAGACCAGCCTTGGGCAACATAGTAAAACCCTGCCTCTGCAAAAACTAGAAAAATTAGCCTGGTGTGGTGGTGCATGCCTTTAGTCCTAGCTACTCGGGAGGCTGAGGCAGGAGGATTGCTTGACCCTGGGAGATCAGGGCTGCAGTGAGCTGTGATCATGCCACTCCAGTCTGAGTGACAGAGCGAGACGTCATCTCATCTCTTAAAAAAGACAAAAACAGAAAAACACCTGTCAGAAGCTTGTTTAGTTCCTAGAATGAATTGACTTCCTCTATTCCATATTCAGATTTTATTGTAAAATTGCTTTGTTATACTGGTGTGTCTGTCTTTTTTTTTTTTGAGACAGGCTGTCACTCTGTCACCCTGCTTGAAGTGCAGTGGTGTGATCTCGGCTCACTGTATCCTTCACTTCTGGGTGAATCAAATGATCCTCCCCCTCAGCCTCCCCAGTAGCTGAGACTACAGGTGTGCTCTACCACACCTGGCTAGTTTTTCTGTATGTTTGGTAGAGACGGTGTCTTGCTGTGTTACCCAGGCTAGTTTCGACCTCCTGAGCTCAAGCCTCCCAAAGTGTGAGGATTACAGGTGTGAGCCACCATATCTGGCTGTTGTACTTGCTTATACCTTTGTTATCTATGTCTTAATTCAGGTTTGCATTCTGCATCATACAGTATTGTGTTTTACTAATATGGTATTTGATAAATGTGTTGAATTGAATACTTATTCTTCCAAAGTTAGGATTTAAAGCCCAGAAAAGTATATCCATTTTATCCCAGCACAAAAGTAGTTATTAGGCTGATGATTTGGCATTTTATTGTTTTAAAGCTCTTTATGAAGTTGTATGATAGCTAAATATACAATTATAGCATTTGTATTAGTATTTTGAGTTTTCTGAAGTATATATCCCTGATGTATTCATTCCTTCATTTGTTTAAATAAACTGGCACATTACTAGAAAAATTGTATTATTGAGATGGGAACTTATAAATTACTTATTTGCATTCTGAGTTTGATTTAGATATCAGTAGAATTAACTTCAGAACTTCTATTCCATGTTCTCAACTTAGTCACATCTAGTGCTTCTTTTTTTTTTTTTTTTTTT